TTTGATTATTTATGTGTTGAGACATTTTTCGGGGGGGGGGGAGGAAGTGGGACAAAGCACGATAAACATAATAAGAAGCTAAAAGTCTGGAGGACTGTAACTTCGGTGGATTGGTTTAAAGCGGGCAGACTCTGTCTACCTTTGGCCATCTGGCTGATTTAAGCTTTTGCCCCCATGCTGTATGATTTTAGCTTAAAATCTCTTCCGTTGCAGTGCCGCTTTTATTGAACTCATCAAAAGCAAACTTTCCCTGAGTTTTTTTTTTTTTTTTTTTTAAGAAGGGCTAAAATAATAAGTCGACCACTGTGACATTCTCTGGGCTTAGGCCATTTTTCATAACGCAGCTGATACGCTTTTGTGCAGCTAAGGCGACCAAACAGATGAATAACGAGAAAAGTCTCTCGAAAACTAAAGCTTCCAGCTTTTCCCATCTTTAAAAAGTTAAGTAAAATGAGAGGTGCGTGTAAAAAAACCCCTTCCAAATCCAAAACCCAAATCCCATCACGCCAAAGATCAGGGCAATACTTTTATACCTCTGAATGGTAACGATGCCTTTTAAACAACTTACTGCACACACACACACACACACACACACACACACACAAAACTTTAAAGCTTGTGAAACTGCCCAGGTGGTGTTTATAGGACCGTAGCCAGTGAGTTGTAAAGAAATCCGAGACAGTTGAAGATTAGACTATTTAGAAATACATGACAAAACCAATTTTTTTTTTCTTAATTTTATTCCTGTTTCACAGTATCCACCGTTTTTAATGCAGGGCTTGAAGGGTCAAGTTGTCTGCAGCACTAAAGAAGAGTCCCACAAATTGTGATGGTTTGGCAGGCGGGGGTAAGTTTATTATTATTTTCAACGTGTTTTCTCATGAGTGTATGCTTGTGTTTAAATTTGTGTTGCAAAGAAAATATGCCCTCGTGATTTTAAAGTCATTTTAGCCATAAACCAGTTTTGCACTCAGAATCACGTCTCTCATGTTGTTGATGTTCTTTCTGGAGTTTTGTCAAAAAAGAAAAAATCCTCCTGCTTCTCCCAGCAGCAGAGCCGGGCAGAGCCAGACCCCACGGTGCGGGACTGGGAGGCGAGTGCCTCTGTGCCACAAGGCAACAAGTAAGAATTTCATGAGCTTTCGCCTGGGTTCAAAATAATCGTTTTTTATTTGGCGGTTTGTTAGGGTTTTCTTTTTTGGTTGAATTCTTTTTCATTCCCCTGCCATGTGAATTACTGCACACACACAAGTTGGTAATTTTTTTTAATTTAGTTGGTAATTTATTTATTTATTTATGCATTTGTTTACATTATTTATTTATTTATTTATTTATTTATTTATTTATTTTGCACGTGCATCCCCCAAACCTGAGCGCCTTAAGAGCACAGCTGTGAACTCCCTGTTTATTATGAAAAGTACTGTACGTACAGCTTGGGTGGAAGCACAGCCATTGGTTCAAATAAAATGTCTATTGATTCAAAGTGCGAGCCCTCCAGGCTGAACCGAGAAGGAAGGAATGGGTCATCATTTTTTTTTCTTTTTCTTTTTTTTTTTTTCCTTAAAAGAGAGAGAGAGAGACAGAGAGAGAGAGAGAGACACTTCTAAGCTGTGAGTGTGAAACCACCACCCAGTCCTTTGATTCTTCTCAATTTTTTTTTTGATAGATAGCAGGAAAAAAATTCCTATGAGAAATAATAAGGTTTGCTTGGAAAAATCGGCAGGTAGATCACCCTCAGAAATAAATTCCAGCCTTTCCCATTCAAAATATGCCTTTTTTAAAATTGCGACGACGTGGGGAGGAATGAGGATAATAAAGTAACTCAGTTCCTCCTCCCCCTCCTCCCCACGCACTTTCAATGAGGAGCCAAACTGCACTTCCCTGCCACCGGTCTCTGCTCGCCCAATTTCTCCGGAGCTGCTCAGTGCACCGAGCCGGCTGGCGATGGACAGCCCATCTTCGTTTGTCCGGGGGATGGGGAGGGAGAGGAAACAAATACCAGGAAAGAAATAAATAGCAAGGGAAAGAGGAAAGAAAAAAAGGAGAAAAAAAAAAAAAAAAGAAAAAAAGGATGAGGTCAGAACAGTACAAAAACCACCAGCTTATTGGAAGGCACTTGTTAGCAACGGGAGGTGATGGTGCAGTAGCTGCACCCCGGGCACCCTCCGAGCTTCCAGCCCTTCCACCCGGGAGCTGTCTGGAAACGATCACAGCCGGCTCACAGCTAATAATGCCCTTCGCAGAGGTTTGGTCTGCGGTGCTCGCAGAAAATGCAACTTTTGCCCCATTGGTTAGCTAGGTGAATTAGCACACACTGCAACTGAACAGTACTTGACCTTTGCCTTTATGTTTGCTCAAATGTTTGCCTAAAACACAATCACCCTTGACAAGAGAGCATGCTACCGTGTGACACTGCCTATTCAATAGATAGATGTTCCCTGCCACACACAACCCAGTTCAGCATTTTAAATAGCTTAGGTATTTGTAAAAGCCGTATAAATTAATGTCTGATGATTGCTAGTTGCTGGTTAAAGAGCCGACTATTTAACACGTAAAGTAAGAGTCGGCTTAGAAAAGCCCAAACCAGACCAAACCAAAGGATCGGCTGTACAGGGATATAAGGTCAGAAAAGCGAACTTGTGGCCAGGACGATGAACAGATTCTTAATCTGCCCAATTCACAGCGTGGCTTTGTCGAGTTGCACTAGCAGCTGGGGTTTGGGACCGGCCATGGCAAACGTATCATGGCACGCATCCTCTCGGTTCAGGCTCTGTCCCTGCACCGCTGATGGCAGAGATGTGAGGGCAGAGGTGCAACCGCGCACCTGAGAAATTCATAGGTGACCCGGGCGAAAGGATGGGGCAGGCAGGTTACCCTGATGTAAATCTGACCTATCCTTCTTCTCACTAGCCTCTCTTGCTGAAATCGGACAAAACTTTTGGGGAACAATCAAAAGTTGCCATTTGGCGGGAATGTTTTGTGCGTGAATTTGATGGCTGAAGCCTGGAGTCCGAGGCATCGCCCTGAAGGCTGCTCGGAAGGCACGGAGGAGCCGGCTGCGGGCTCTGGGTGCCTGCCGGACAGGCAGAGCGGCGGCCGGGGCTCCCCGCTCCGCCTCACCCGCGGCACAGCTCGGGACGGGACGGGACGGGAGCAGAGAGGGGCAGGGAGCAGAAAACAGTCACCTTTCATAAATACAGTCACCCTTCTTATTTATGAGGCGGCGCATCATTCATTGACAGTATGACACCTGATGTGCGGCTTTTGTTTCAAAGGATACTTTATATTGTTTGGAAACGTGATAAAGCGGTTCTCGGGAACAGAATATTTATACCAAATGCAGTTTCTGATGTAAGTGGATACCTGCACATCTTGCTAGTACTTCCAGTCTGTAAAATACTGCGCAGCCCAACAGGAAAAGTACAAGTAATATTGCAAACAGTTGCTCTGCTTTGATTTACCTTTACTGTCTTCATCTGGAGACTTTTTCTTTTTGATGATAAATTTCTTACTGTCTTTCAATTTTGGGAAACAGCACTTCCCCTCCTCTCTCTGTGTGTTTTATTTTCGCCTCACGATTTAGTCAGGAGCATTTTGAAAAAAAAAAAAAAATGGTTCACGTTTATACGAACCTCTATCTTCAGATCCAATGTTAACTTGACGTTAAACTCAAAGAGATAGGCTGAAACCAGCAACCTAGCTTAGCCAAAACAGTGATTGCAGAAGCGGGATTGAGTGGCACCGAGAGAGACATTCAGCTATTACTCGTTGCCAGCTAGACAGAGAATTTATTTCTGTAAATAATTTGAAATTTTTAAATCGACAATTTTATTATCTCGTTTACAACTATGCGGAAAATGATGTTTAGAAAAATAGCAATCGGACTTTGCAAATAAGATATTCGCAATTGAAAGGAATGCGAATCTAATTTCTTTGGAGGCTGGTTGCTCCCCGATGAGTGCATTTCCCGTGCCACGGACACGCGTGGGGGGCGTGCCCGGCCCTGCGCCCCCCGCGCTCCGCGGGTCACCCCGGAGTCACACGGGCAGCAAAGGTCAGAGCCCGCCGAGCGCCGCCCCCCGCAGCTGCCGGGGGTGCGCAGCCCCTGCCCGGCACTCCCCGGCTCCCTCCGCTCTGCCTCCTGACAGAGCCAAACCCGACCTGGTGCAAACAACCTTCCCCACAGGCTGAAATGATACCTTGGATTATTTGCGTCTGTGTTGCTGGGTTTTGATGTGAACACATGTTTACTTAAGCTCGTAAGTCACGAGTGACCTAGAATAACATAGCGCGTACCCCTAGAGGCAAAACAACCGAAGTGAACTTTCAGGCCAGATGATATTGAAAGCGAAGTTGTGCGGAGACCGCCGGGGCTCGTTTCTGCCAGAGAGAGCAGGGATCAGAGCCGCGGGGACGGGCGGTGCGGGGCTTCACCCGCGCACAGCCGCACACGGCAGGCACCGCCTCGGCTCGTAGGCAGGGAGCTCGTCGGGAAACCTCACCTGAAAGAAACGGGAATTGAGGAGCATCGACACCGGCAGAGTTTTTAGAGTGTTTAGAAGTGTTCTCCTTGTTTTTGCTGGGATTTAGAGTCCTTTGGAAGGAGAAATCATCGGTTAAGGGAGAGACAGATTATTCTGCGCAGCCATTGTCAATAATGATTTCAAAACAAAACCGTATTTTAAAAGGAGAACAATCTCTATATCAGAATTAAATATTTATATTCCTTTAGGTATAGAAAAGCAAGCGTGTCAATTTTTTTCCTAGTGTCAAGAAAAAAATAATTTCGAATGTTATAACTTCTACTTTAAATAAGGACTTGATATGTTTCCAAAGCGATTGTTGTTTTTGGCTAATTTTGGTCGGGCGCTCTTTTATATATATTAGCTTTTTCTGTGGAAAATATAATTCTCTAGGCACCTCGAGGAAAGTTTGTGAAGTTTGTGAAGTTTTTTTTGTTTGTTTGTTTTGTTTGTTTGTTTTGTTTTGTTTTGTTTTGCTAGCACTCCAGTTCCGGTCAGAAATTCTGCTCCTTTTGCGTAGTAAAGCGCTCTTCGAGAGCAGAGGGCACAGCTCAGCATCATCGCCTGTTTCAGGAATACCCACATTACTTGCTTTGCCTTTATATCCTTAATTTCTAAAGGATAAATATTGCTGGCAGGAAGATCAAGGAAGTGTCTCCCTTCTATATTTGCTATGCTGTGCAGGTATCTGTAATTAGAATAAGACACCCAGCACAATAAGCAGCTATTGAATGAGAGTTTGAAGCACGACAGCTCTTCTTCTGGCTCAAAATCGCTGCCTACACTTATTCTCCGATTTCCGATGCCTATTATGTATACAATCGAGCCTATAATTACCTGCTGATTTCTTTGTAGTTGTTAAAGAGAGTTTGCAGTGCTCGGGCAATATTGTCCAGTCGTTATGTCTCCAGAAGCTGTCACGAAAGCTTGAATATACTCTGTACAGTCTGCAAGTAATCAATGAAATTTACGATCTCGATACCCCCCTCCACACACATTTCCTGTCCAAAGAAGAAAAACTGAGATATGAAGGTGTCTGGGTCTCCTTCTCAACACCCCTTACAGGGCGGCTTTGGAAGGAAAGTGAGTGGCAGGCTCTGGAGTTTCACACGGTAGCGGGAGCCGGGTGGGAATTTCCCTCGGGACAGACCCCCATGAGCGGCGAGCCCGGGGGGAGCCCCGCTTGGGGGGGTTATCCCTGCTCCCAGGGGCTCTCCCTGCTCCCAGGGGCTCTCCCGGCTCCCAGGGGCTCTCCCGGCTCCCAGGGGTTCTCCCCTCTCAGGGGGGTTCTCTCCTCTCCCAGGGGCTCTCCCCTCTCAGGGGGGTTCTCCCCTCTCCCAGGGGCTCTCCCCGCTCCCAGGGGTTCTCCCCTCCCTCTGGACTGCCGGACGCGGCTGCCGGGGCCCCGCTGTGCCTGTGCCGGTGGCGGGGCGAAGGGGCAGGTGCGGAGGGCGGCGAGAGGCTGGAGATGCGCACGGCAGCCCTGCCCCGTTCCCCACCGGGCTGCGGGGCTCTGCCGGCTGCGGAGGGCGATGCTTTCGGCCCCAGCCGAATCCCCTGGTCCCATCCACTGCGCTGAAGTCAGAGCGGGGACACCGCCGCCCCGCGCCCTCTGCTCTCCTGGGGGCCGTGCGTGGCTCTCCGTGGATCCCAACTCCACGGTGAGGCTGCTGCTTCCCCAGACCACCTCCCTGTATCCCCCCGCCCGCGCCTTCCAGGGCCAATGCAGCCCGGAGGGAGCCGCGGCTTCCCGCGGAGATGGTGTCACCATCTCGGGGTGGGTGCGCTTTCACCCCCGCAAAGCTGTCCCAAGCCTGTCTGTGTGTTTGACGGGGAGAACGAGCTGCTCCAGGCATCTTGCAGCTTTCCTAAACACCGACCCGCTGCGGCTTTTTTTCGAACTCTGTTATTAAAGCAACATTTAGGGAGTGTGCATAATTGTACAGTTAAAAGGCATGGCTGATGCATCTCAGCTCAGAAGGTCGGATCAGGGTAGCAGCCCCCCGCCCTAAAATATGAGGGAGGAGGGAAAAGAGGGGGGCCTGAAATTTGACTGAAACACTCTTAAAAAAAAAACATTAAAAAATAGATAGATAAAGGAGAAAGGCACTTGCAGGCTGCCACAATGGTGAATCCTCCCTGACCCAACAATTAATCTTGGGAAGAGAATGTGACCAGATAGGATGGGAAGTCGATTCCCCGGGGTGGGTGTGCGGGACAGGAGGAGGAGGGAAGGGGAATTGATCTTGAGCCCTAGGCCTGCCACATCTTCTTCCAGTGGTTATCTTTCAGAGAGGTGAAACACAGCCCTCACCAATCTCTTCTCTGTAAGGCACAGGTACTGCCTGCAAGTGGTTGGTGTGGATGTGGATGGTGTGGATGTGTCCTCAAGCCCACCCAGCACCATGCAAACCCACCACCTCAGTGATCATTTTTATGACAGACTCACTTCTGTGGTTTCTGTGAGGAATGGGGATGCTCCAGATGGTAAAGGGTCAACTCTTGGGCACTAAGGGGAGGACTTTTGTTGGCATGGCATGGGATCTGGGTTCAAATATCCAATGCAGGTTGTAGGCAATAGCTGGGAGACACTGGGAGACAAGGTTAGATGATGCCAGGGAGATGCAGCAGTGGAGACTTGGCTCTCTCCATGTATTGGATGGTGCACCCAGAGCATTCCAGTTGTGATCTACAGCCAGACTTGAAATCACCAGAGTGTATTGCTGGGACATATGATGCTCTAACAGCCATGTGCCCACCCATGACTCTGTCCTGCTGGAAAAAGTCTCTGTCACCTTGTTTCATGTCTGTCTGACATAAATTAAGTGAGGTCCCTGAGCCCCAGGAAGCCATCCAAGCCCCAGTCCCTGTTCACAGCCCTCCAGTGAGGGATGTATCTGCCTCCATTTGCAGTCCACACCAAATCTTTCCCAGCAGCATAAATCCAGACAAGGGGCTTATGCCCTTGTCTAAGTTAATTGACTTCAACTAGGCATTTTGAAGCTGGTGTTTTACTTTCAAAAATAAGTAAGAAAAGGTAGGCAGAGAGAGAATAAGCTCTCACAAAGGATGTCTGAGTTTCATAATAAACCTTCCTCTATCTTCCACTCTCTTCCCAACCTACCATATTCTCTTGCCCAGAAACTGACTCCTTCAGAGTAGGAAACCAACCTGTGACAGTTAATCAGCAAATCGTGCAGGAACACGTTTTAGCCAGGGCACCAAAACCAGTGAAACTGATACAGCACAGACCAGTCATTTCTGTTATTTCCTCTGCTGGCATTTTAATGAAAAGGAAGTATCTGTAACGCAATCCTCTTGGAGAAATCAACACTTCCTGCTGTTCGAAGCGAGGCAAGGAGCTGAGCTGGGTTCAGATCCTGAGGGTTAGATTCGGGAGGGTTACATGCACGCAGTCACATGTGACCTCAACCAGCCACTTGTCCTCCTGCAAAGAACCAAAACTAGCCCCAGTTTTTCATCTAGGATTATTTAT